TAAAGAAATAAAAATAAGTAAAAGCTAACATTTAGCAATTTTGATGTTTTTAATGTGATTTTTTTCATTATTAACTTTTTAAGAGATAAAAAATGATTTAGTCGTTACGATTTATAATAAGCTTTTATCATTCGATGTGGCACTTACTTTCAACGCAAGTACTCTTAATTTTAAATAAACAAGTAAAAACTCTAACGAAAAAAAAAGCTATCTGATTTTGATCTCTCCATTTTTAAGTTATTTTTTTTGACTTTCGACAAGCTCCTACCGTATAGATTAAAAAAAAGAAAAAAAAAAACAGAGTCGCTTACATATATATGGCCCAGAGGCAGTGATTGTCACATCACATGCACGAGACACCCGCGCGCTCTCATTTTTTTTTCAACTACATACAAACTCAAATCCTCCTCTTCTTCGACCTCGCCTCCTCCTCCGCCGCCGCCGCCGCATTTCGCCGATGGGGATGTCCTCGCCGGTGACGGAGGCGGAGATGGCGACGGTGAAGACGTCGTCCAACGGCGTGTGGCAGGGGGACGACCCGCTCCACTTCGCCTTCCCGCTCCTCATCCTCCAAGCTCTCCTCATCCTCCTCCTCAGCCGCCTCCTCGCCCTCCTGCTCCGCCCGCTCCGCCAGCCCAAGGTCATCGCCGAGATCGTCGCCGGCATCCTCCTCGGCCCCTCCGCGCTCGGCCGCAACAAGGCCTACCTCCGCGCGCTCTTCCCGCCCTGGAGCGCGCCCGTGCTCGAGTCAGTCGCCAGCCTCGGCCTCCTCTTCTTCCTCTTCCTCGTCGGCCTCGAGCTCGACCTCCGCTCCGTGCGCCGTAGCGGCCGCCGCGCCTTCGCCATCGCCGCCGCGGGGATCTCGCTCCCGTTCGCGTGCGGCGTCGGCGTCGCCTTCGTCCTCCGCGGCGAGCTCCCGGGCGCCGCGCGGGCGGGCTACGCGCCGTTCCTCGTCTTCATGGGCGTCGCGCTCTCCATCACCGCGTTCCCCGTCCTCGCGCGCATCCTCGCCGAGCTGAAGCTGCTCACCACCCCCATCGGCGAGACGGCGCTGGCGGCGGCGGCGTTCAACGACGTGGCGGCGTGGGTGCTGCTCGCTCTGGCCGTGGCCATCTCGGGCAGCGGCGACCACCGGAGCCCCATCGTCTCCCTCTGGGTGCTCCTGTCGGGCGCGGCGTTCGTCACAATATGGATGGTGTTCGTCAAGCCGGCCATGGCGTGGGTGGCGCGGCGGTCGGACGGGCAGGGCGGCGGCGAGGTGTGGGTGGCGGCGACGCTGGCGGGCGTTCTGGCGTCGGGGCTCGCCACGGACATGATCGGGATCCACGCCATCTTCGGGGCGTTCGTGTTCGGGCTGACGGTGCCCAAGGAGGGGGAGTTCGCGGGGAGGGTGACGGAGAGGGTGGAGGACCTGGTGTCGGAGCTGCTGCTGCCGCTCTACTTCGCGTCGAGCGGCCTCAAGACGGACGTCGCCACCATCCGGGGCGGCGGGGCGTGGGGGATGCTGGCGCTCGTCATCGGGACGGCGTGCGCCGGGAAGATCGTCGGGACGTTCGCGGTGGCCATGGCGTGCGGGATGTCGGCGCGCGAGGCGCTGGTGCTCGGCGTCGTCATGAACACCAAGGGCCTCGTCGAGCTCATCGTCCTCAACATTGGCAGAGAACGCAAGGTGCCTCTAATTTTCCTCTTCTTCTACTCATACATGTACAAATTTACCTACTGGTATAATACCAAGTATAATACAATTATCTAAAAAAATACTAGCAGTAAGTACCATGTATTTTTGTTGATTTTATTTTTACAGATATTTTTGTTGATTTTAAATTTAGAGGGTTTTTTATTGATTTTTTTAGAGGTGTTTTAGCTGAATTACATACTCCGTACTCCCTCCAGTTTCATTTTAATTGACGTTTTGGATAATGACACGGTCTACAAGATATATTTTTGACCTTATTTTTCTATTATAATATATATAATAAATAAATGCATTTTTACTTTTATTGTAGTGCTTTGAAAGAGAAATTTTTATATGTTGTTTTAGTTTTTTTAAACTAAATATTTTTAAAGTTATTGATGGTCAAAGTTATAAAAAAATGACCTCAATCTTGTTCAAAACGTCAATTAATATAGAACCACAGGAAGTATCTTTTTAGAGGAGGTATTTTTGTTGAATTAGTTCTCCATTTTTAGAGTCAAAGTTATTGTTGAGTTGCCCTGCAATGAGAAATGGAAGGAGCCAAAAGAAAGGCTCTTGTGAGGACAAAAGCAGAGGTCACCTGTTACATGCTTCCTGTTGCTGTTCTACACTGTTTTTTTCCTCATTTTCTTTTTCTTTTCTTTTTTTGAGACGTGCTGTTTCCTGTGACTTTTGAGAAATTTTCTTGGTTTTGGAAGTATGAATGAATTTCACAGATGCAAACAACAAAGGTAGTCTGATCCACATGAATCTTCTCTTCTGGTTTCTGAATAGAGTGCATAGGGAAGTGGGACACACTGACCACACTGTTGTCAAGAGTTCAAAGTTCAATGTTGCATTTGATGATGCTTGCCATCCGTAGACCATCCAGAGTTGCAATGTATAGGTGCAGTAAAAAAGCAGCCTCTTCTTCAAACTGCACCATTCAGAGCTTGAAGATGAGCGGCGTGAAGTCGCTGACAGGTGGGCTCCATTCAGGGCTTGAGGGCTCCGCCGTCCATCTGTCAGTCATGCAACCGAGGGCGACGTAGCACTAAATAAGTCAATGCCATGCATTTTGATTTTTTTTTTGGGAACTATGCATTTTGATTTTGATTTTGGCTCCATCCAAGATATGGATTTTGAACCAATAAAAATGCATCCAAAACGAGTGCAAAATTATTACCCATCCGTTTCAATTTATAAGACGTTTTAACTTTGGTTAAAGTCAAATAGCTTTTAGTTTAACCAAGTTATAGAAAAAAGTAGTAATATTTTCAACCTAAGACAAATTTATTATGAAAATATATTTAATTATTGATCTGATGAAACTATTTTATTATTATAAATAATACTATATTTGTTCATAAATTTAGTTAAAATTAAAACAATTTGATCTTAATCATAGTTAAAACGTCTTACAATAAAAAATGGAGAGAGTAATGAGTAATGTTTTGTGTGTTGGTGTAACACAGGTGCTGGACGAGGAGACGTTTGCGATCCTGGTGCTAATGGCGCTGGTCACCACCTTCATCACCACCCCCACAGTCATGGCCATCTACAAGCCGGCGCGCAACGCCGGCCGCCGCCGCCTGCACCACCGCAAGCTGCATGGCCCCTCCGCGCCGTCCTCACCGTCCGCGGCTGCCACCGCCGGCGCCAAGGAGCTGCGCGTGCTGGCCTGCATACACGGCGGCCACGACGTGCCGGCGCTGATCAACCTCATCGAGACCATCCGCGGCCACACCCAGCCGCGCCGCCTCGTCAAGCTCTACATCCTCCGCATGGTCGAGCTCACCGAGCGCACCTCCTCCATCCTCATGGCCCGCGCCGCGCGCCGCAACGGCGTCCCCTTCCTCCGCCCTCGCCGCGGCGGCGGCGACCAGGTCGACGTCGCCTTCGACACCTACGCGCAGCTCGGCCACGTCCACGTCCGCCCCATGACCGCCGTCTCCGCGCTCCACACCATCCACGACGACGTCGCCGCCGTCGCCGAGGACAAGCGCGTCTCCCTCGTCGTGCTCCCGTTCCACAAGCGCCACCCGGGCCACGGCCATGGCGACGACCTCGGCCCCGAGTGGCGCGCCGTCAACCGGAGGATCCTGCGCGAGGCGCCCTGCTCGGTCGCCGTCCTCGTCGACCGCGGCTTCGGCGGCGGCGAGCAGGTCAGCTCGGAGCAGGTCGCGCACGGCGTCTGCGTCGTCTTCTTCGGCGGGCCGGACGACCGCGAGGCGCTCGAGCTCGCCGGGAGGATGGCCGAGCACCCCGGCGTGCAGGTCACCGTCGTGCGGTTCGTCGACGGCAAGGAAGGTAGCGAGGAGCACGCCGAGGTGACGCTGCGCCCGTCGAACACCAAGAACGCCGACAAGAGCTACACCTTCTCAACGGCCATCGTCGACACCCACAAGGAGAAGGTAGGTACATCCCATCATCATCCATGGCGCAGCCATGATCATGAACAGCTAATGAGGTTGATGAAATTACACGGCGGTGCAGGAGCTGGACGAGGCGGCGGTGGCGGAATTCCGGCAGAGGATGGGGGCCATGGTGAGGTACGAGGAGAGGGTGGTGGTGGGGAACGTGATCGAGGAGGTGGTGTCGATCGGGAAGAGCCGGGAGTACGGCCTGGTGGTGGTCGGCAAGGGGCGGCTGCCGTCGGCGATGGTGGCGGAGCTGGCCGTCCGGGCGGCGGAGCACCCGGAGCTGGGGCCCATCGGCGACGCGCTGGCGTCGGCGGGGCACGGGGTGACGTCGTCGGTGCTGGTGGTGCAGCAGCATGACATGAGCAACGCCGACGAGCTGCCGGTGTCCATCGTCGTCGACGGCCACGCCCACGACGACGGCGAGCTCGGCGGCAACAAGGACATGGCCGAGCCATAAAAACACAGAAAAATCATTCACTAGCTAGGATGATGACGACGATGGTGATAAAGATAAATTACTCCTGTTTAATTAGCTAGCTTGTAATCGAATGGCAGAAAAAAATTTAAAATAAGCCAGATTTGCTAGTAGTATCATGCAAGCTTAAGTACTTTACACGTTTGTAATTTGTATATAACGTTCTTCAAATTACTTTCAAAAATTAATTTGAACTGTGTACTTTGCTTTTGAAATTGGGATACTCTCATACTCGTATAGTATGTAACATGAGACCACCACCATGGGCCGAAATGAGTGGATTGTATTGGGGAGGCCCGATGGAAGAAAGGGCGGCCCATGAAAAGATGCGGTGGGGCCCAACACACGGGTAGGTTATGTGGTGAGTGGATGACAGGTGGGCCCGCGGTCGGTCGGTGCCACCGAAAAGAAAATAATAGAAGAGGAGAAAGAAAAGGAGATGCGGCGAGCAAGCGAGCGTCCATTCCACGCGACTCCCCAACACAAATACCACCACCACCTCCCACACCCACACCAAGCGCAGAGCTCCAGAGAGAGAGAAGGGATCCATCGACGCGCGAGCGCTTTGCTTAGATTCCTTCGTCGCCGGCGAATCCGTCCCCTTCGCGCCGCCCGCAATGGTATACCCCCTCCGGCCTCATCTCATCTCATCTCATCTACCAGCTAGTCATCTTGTACATAGTAGGACTGTTTGCCCGCCTGCTGGTTCTTGATGCGTATGCGCACAGTAGTTTCTATCTTAGATTCGTAATCTGTTCGTCACACGTTTGTTGTAGATCTTAGTGTGTGTTCGTTGGTGAGATATTCACAATACCACAAGTGTTCTTGCTTTTTTTTCAAAAAAAAAAGAAAAATTATTGCTGCCTGGGTACTTTCCTTGCATCCGTTTAGTGCTACTATTCGGCTAGAGTGTTGGCAGTTTTTCCCTAGCAACAAAGATCTGTTCCAAATGCGCGAAGTTTAGTATCGATTCGGTGTCATAGTGATGAATGAACATGTGGAGTTGTAAGCAGGTGCCTTCAATTTTGCCATGGATGGTACAGGCCGTACAGCTAGAGTTCTTGATTATTATTTTTGTTGGGTAGAGTATATAGTTGGATTATATCCAGCCTTAGCTGAGCCTAACCTTTAGCTGGTCCTTCAAAGATTTTGTATATGGGGGGCGGCCGTAGTTGGCGACTACCTGGCTTGTGGCTCCCATTGCTTCTTCAGGAAACCCTTAGTGGCTTGTTTGGCATCTTGAGGAAAGGGGATTGGGAGTTTACACGAGGGAATTGATGGTGAGATTAAGATGGAAATTTGATTTTTCATCCCAGTCTCTTGTTTGGTAGAGGTGGTGGAAATTGACAGGGAGTTTAGTTGGAGATTAGGTCATTAGTGAAAACGGATGGCTGAGATTTGTTTAGGCGAAGTAAAGGAGGAATTCCCTCCCAATTACCTGCCCCTACCCAGGAATTGAAAAGGAGGGAGTTCCTTCCTCAATTCCCCATCCCCATCCCACCAAAATTCCCATGTCTCCCAATCAAACAAAACAGTTAATAGCCTCATCCCTCTAAACTCCCAATCCCTTCTAAAAACTCCCCCCAACCAAACGGGCCGTAGGTGTCAGGGCACCTAACATTCTTGAAAAGCTTATTGGTTTTATTTGAAGGAGTTATGTTTGTTTTGTCACACAGCATTGCTCTAGTAATCAGGTATGGAAAGTCCACAAGCAAGAATCGGGATCTTGCCTACTAGTCGTATGTGAATCGCATGTCTCTATTGATTGTTGCTCATACGACATGCCTAAAAAGGCTTGCTTAATTAACTGATGACGAGATGTGTGAAAGGGAATATGCATGACCAGTCATCATGTTGTTATTAACTATTTATGCGATTTTCACCCTGATGTTTGGTCCTCAGTCACGTTATCAACCTTTTGTTCTCCATAAGCATTATTATCATTGTCTGATGTGGACCTGTGAAGTGTTCATTACTTATCAGGCTGTGATATATGGACATCTCGCCAGCCGAGCTTGCGATCAACATAGTAGATCCTGTCACGGAATTCAGTTTGTTAGACAGCCTTTATCCTGCCAGGCATTTGCAGTGAATTGTGTTTTAATTCAGATTGAATATTTCAGCCAACCAATTACAGCCAATCTTACTATAAATAGTCATGGACAAATCATTTACTGCTTTCTGCATCCTCCCCTGTTTTTAATTAGTTGCTCTCACATCATGTACTTCCACAAATGTATCAACTGCAATATTAATATATGTAACGAGCAATGTTGAATTTATTTAGCTTGACTGTCTGCCTTGTTGTTACCTGTAGGCGAATGCAGCATCTGGGATGGCTGTGGACGATGAGTGCAAGCTCAAGTTCCTGGAGCTGAAGGCAAAGAGGACCTACCGCTTCATCATTTACAAGATAGACGAGAAGAAGAAGATGGTTGTCGTGGAGAAGGTTGGCGAGCCCGTACTGAACTACGACGATTTTGCCGCTAGCCTCCCTGCCAACGAATGCAGATACGCCATATTCGACTACGATTTCGTGACCGAGGAGAACTGCCAGAAGAGCAAGATATTCTTCATTGCATGGTACTACTTCCGCATCTCTCTTATCGGCTTCTCACAATATTACAACATCACCTGAAATGTAGTAGAAACTCTCGCTGATTGATTTTATATGCCAATGCAAAGGTCTCCTGATACATCGCGCGTGAGAAGCAAGATGATCTACGCGAGCTCCAAGGACAGGTTCAAGAGGGAGCTCGACGGCATTCAGGTGGAGCTCCAGGCGACCGATCCAACTGAGGTTGGCCTCGACGTGATCAGAGGCCGTGCAAACTGAGCATTGTTTTGATGCTGCTACCTATAAAAGTATGAGCTTCAGATGAGAATTTAGAGAGCTCCCCTGAGGCAATGGGTTATGACTTTGTTATCATCTTAGTACTACTCCTATCTAAGGGACGGTGTAAGGCTGTAATCTATGTGCGGTGCAATGATAAGGCTATCCTTTCTGCGTTTGATCATGACATCTCATCGCTGTTCGATTCTTTCTCGCTGGCGTCTGTTATGTTGAATGATGCAATTCTTCTGTAAGATTCCGCCTTTACCGAAATATCTCTAGTATCAAATTTAAATTGGAGTACGGATCCTCTTTGAACATACGGATCTATTTGAGATAATTTTGTCTGATCATCAACGAGAACTCGGAAGCGTGCCAACCTTGTGGGTCAATTGTAACGATAAAGCAGGGAGAATATAGTTCCCCCTTTTTCCTCTGATGATGAAATGGCAGGAGAAGTGTAGTTGAGCCTGCTGTTTTGGTGAAGACTGAAATGGTATCAGAAAGTCAGAATCCACTATAACCAATACAACAGCAGCTGATATATAATCATTGATCAAGGAAAACAACTGCAGCTCATAGATTAATGCTTACTAGCTTTGTCCATCAATACATACAAAAACCAGTCCAACAGTCATGGTAACTGCTCCAAATCAAAGCACGCCAGAAGTTCTCTTAACGCCTCACACAGCAGGAAACACAACAACAAACTGGATTTTATTTATCTACACATCCATCATATTTACATACCAAGGGAGAATCCGCAGGACTCATTTTCCTTTCTTTCAGGAAGCCTCAGCAGTGGAGAAATGCATTTTAGCAGCCGATTCACGCAAAAAGCTGCTTCCACATTTGGCGTCTTGACTGCTGATGCCATAATCCAATATATCGGTCTCATGTTTGTTGAGATCGTCTGGTGCTGAATTACTACTTGTGGTTTCAGCATCCTTGAGCCTATCAAATTCGCTGTGCATGAATCAGTTAGAATTTACTTGCATGTTTTGTGATGATGACAAAATAGCAGTGAAGAAAGCAATTTTACCCAGGAGCTTGGAGCACTGCTGAACTCTGGATAGCATTCTGGTGGTTTTTCTTGGACCTACCCTTTTGCTTTTGTTTCTGCTTCTGCTTATTCTTGTCCTTCTTCCGGGATTTGGACCGACGCTGGTAGCTGTTATTCACTGAATGACATACAGATGTCACTGGGGGGTCATACACGTCAGGGGCCCATTTGACGTGGCGACTTTCAGTTGATGAAGCCATCCCATTCTTTTGGCGGCTTCCTTTCATAGCAGATATGATCTTCAAAGTTGGCTGTTGCGAAGGAAAATGAGGCAACGTTAATAACAGAATAACAACAAAAGCGTTCCTAATAGCCACAAGGTTCCACGAGACAAATAGAAATAGGCCAACGTGAGGAGAAGAATATACTAATCAATTTCAAATGCAAAAGAAATGTTGGTTTGGTTGCTTGCACCATCAAATCCCAACTATAACCATATATATGCATAGAGATGTATACCACGCATGCCTTCAGCAGTACTATGGATGTGGTAACATCAAAAGGACAAGCATAGCAATTTATTCATCTCAGCAATATACCAATAACATTATGCTTATTTGATCTCTTACCTATAATAAGAGCAACAGGAAAGAATGGAAGAATATCATAGCATTCATATCTGATGCACGCTTTCTAAATATAGCATAAATAATAAGCGATAAATTTACATTACCACAAGAAATATCAACTCAGGCAATTAAGTCCAAATTTATATTATTATGACATGCAACAAATTGATCAGTGTTAACATCAATCCTACTGTTATTGGTGTCATTTAAAGAAGGCATTTGCTAATATAGACCAGCTATGCAATTCCAAGTCTTGGACTTGAGACACTCTACGGATAGTGCAAAAACAACCAGAGCTTTTTCCAATAATTTTTTCAAGTGGTTCAATATATTGTTGCTTTTAGATGACAGGAGAATAAAACCAAAAGATAATAATGTATGGATATTAACGATATTGAAGCGTTTCGATCAAACCATGTGTTCAGAATGAATATAAATCAAACATAAATTTGGTAAGTTAAAGTAGACATAAGCTACTCCCAGACAGCAGCTGGAAACCATTTTGCAGCAACTATCACTATAAGAACAACATCCTAGAATTGAGTTCAAATACACTTAATGAAGGTTAAGAAGATAACTATTAGTCCGAACATATAACCAATTTCTTATATATGATATGCTGTTTATGAAGATTAGATACTCACGGGCAGTGACACGGAGCGCTCATAGGTTGGCACATCCTTGGGATTCTTATCTGCATCACAGCATGAACCCTGCTGCTGTTGTGCCTCGCCGCTAGAGGGCGGAAACGTCATGCACTTCTGGAAGCCTTTCTTCACCCCCAAGCTGGTGGTACTGGAGAAATCCATGTACTTCCCAGCTTGTGACAAATTATCGGCATTCTCCGCCGCCACTCCAGAAGTAGCATCAGCCAGCGCAGAATGCTTCTCAGGCAGGCTCTTGCCGCCGTCTGCGCTACCCGATGAGGTGCCGTCGGATATCACTTCCGACACTCTCCCGAGATCACCACAGGAATGACCATCCATCAAGCAAACAACCTAGCACTCAAACCCTAACACCTCAAAAACCACAGTGAGCCGAGCTGATCCCCTGACGCTATAGCGCGGCTAATCCGATCCGATCCAACCCAATACAATCCAAACCAAACCAAACCGAGTGAGCGCGTCCAACCGATCCAACACAAATACTTGTAATTAAATCCAAATCAGCACGGGAAGAACAACAACAATAATCAGAGAAGTGTATCACCCTATAGCTACGAGAAGAAAAGGGGAAGAAATGGGAGGGCAACGGGGAGCAGGAGAAAGAGACGGGGAGAAGAGAGATTGGATGGCGTTAGGAGGATGAGAGGAGGTGGGGATGGAGAGACCAAGGCTTAAGGCGGTGGGAGCAAGCGGAGGGGAGGACGAGGGCGTCGACGCGGAGGAGGCGGCGCAGGGGCGAGGCCCCCTGCTCCGACGAAGGCATCGTGGATCTCCGCCGCCGCCCCCGCCGCCGGAGAGGTTGGTCGCCGGCGCCGCAGATCTGGAGCTCGGATCGGAGTCGGAGGAGACGCGTGCGGGTGGGTGAAGGGATGATGGGATTGGGGATATTTTTTTTCCTCCTCTCTCTAAAAATTCTTTTTTTCCTTCTCTTCTTTCCGAATACTTCTCTCTTGACGGTTGACGCAGTGTGTGGAGGGAGGGGGTTATATATACTCCATGACATCCGGGTGGATAAGGGGACACGTGTGCACGCGCTTGTCTGTAAGGCCCTGTCCAGGAATTTTTTACACTGTCTTAAAGAAAATCTTTACTTAAAAAAGGCTATACTATCCACTCCGATGAGATGATTGTGCAAAAAATAGAACGACTATTGTAGTGAGTACCTTTTTAATCCTATTTTTTGTTTCAATAACTCCTCTTCAGTTAACGTGAATTACCAGTACTACAGTATAGAAGAGATTGTGATACTATCCAAGCTATTTCTGTGAGTCCTTAAAATGGGATGACTGAAAAACTTTTTTTTATAAACATTAATTGGTCGTGTATTAGCAAACAATATATATATCGGTTCATGATGCATTGCCAGAATAGTGCTACGTCATAAGCAGAAAGACTACAAGTCATAAATGGGTTACCTACCCACATAATTACAGACAGGGACCCAACTCTTAGGCCAAACCGAAGGGCAACCAGAATGGCGATAAGTGCGATTAGGTACGCGAGAATTGGTGGTGTACATTGATGATATTGTTATTATCCCTCAGCCCGAGAAACAACATCTCCTGAATCTGAGGAAAGCGTTCGCAGTATAAGTTTCAAATGAATCCTTTGCAACGCGCCTTTGGTGTCTCGGCTGGTAACTTTCTCATATTCTTAGTCCGTCGGAAGGGAATCGAGAAAATTAAATATAAACTAATGGTTTGCAAAATCAATGCTTCGGCCCTTCGCCTATAGGTGGCTTGGCAGGCAAGCTACCGAAGCGACTAGCTTCTACCGGAAGCAAAGCTTTGTAGAAGCTTCTAGAGGCATGAAGGTAGGAAGGCTGACCACTACATAAAGCATAAATAAGCACTTGCCTTTCAGTAAAGTATCCATTTTTTAGTGGTCCTTGCATTCACTCCTCCAAGGAGGTGGGAATTCATCCATAGTACACCTATCTATGGAAAAGTTCTTTTGAAAGATTTCCCTAACACTTATTCGATAGGATATTGTTGATGCAAAAAACACACACTGGCCTGGAAGATCTGCTTAACTCTTGTGCAGGTCCAAAATTTCGCTTTTAGGTTCGTGAGCGTGCCAGTTGATTTGATCCTGCAATCAACAAGAAAGAAAGACAAGAGAAACACGGTTAAATCCATAAACGATAGCCGATCGGCTAGTTGCCGATGATATATCATTTATCTTCAAGCCGATGTCATGTTTGGAATTGATCGACAGTCATGAATAAATAAGATAAGACTAAATCTACTCGATCGGCTGTAGATATTAACGACATATAATCATTCCTTCGATGTATATTTAGACTAAGTGATTGGGATAGATCGGTCACCATGCCGAGACAGTATAAATCACTTAAGTCGAAAGATACATTAAAGCAATGATTATATAGACGTTTAATAGCATAGCCGATCAGATAGATCTAGCATGTATCGGCTAATACTCCGATACCACTTTATACTAAGATATTAAAACATGCAAAATATATTAAACAAGAAGCCTAATATACCTTAATGCAATAAGATATTAACATAAAGGGCAGACCTAGCATATCAATCAAGCATATGAGATATAAAGTTGCTAAATCAGGTAAGATCGGCTGAAACCCCGACACTATCTCTATCGATAATCTTAAAACAAGCCAGATATTATAATTATGGATATTACTTAATAGATCGAATCCAACCGATGCAGCATTAAGCATAAAGATAAATATGAGATCTAGGCAGGATGATGAAAACCTCTAAAAGATGGTTGATACACGATATAATCTAGATTAATAACGAGACATAACTCTATTGACTACTTTCTAGTAGTATAAAACAACCGATAACAAGTTATATAGCGCAACTAACAGAGATTGCAAAGTGTATAAGATAACTCGACGAATTACATAAACAGGATTAGAGTGTCATAAAGATGGAAGCACTAATCCCAAGAACGCAAGCCGTCATGACAAGTTTACCTCTAGTTGAAGATCGGAATCGATGCAGCTCAACCCGAAAGTAAGAACTCGTCGAAATAGAAGAAAGTGAAAAGGGTGGCGATGCGCCGAAAGTGTTATTGAACTGTTGTTGTAAATTACATGGGGTCGGGTTATATTTATACCCGAGATACATGATAAGTCCATGCCGGACAAGTTCCTTATCTCTAACAAATTCTAAGATACAAGTCTTTACGGTAGACTTTTGCCCAAACATATCTCTAAAGAAACTATTCAAAATATTCTAATTAATAGATACAATTGCCTTATCTGAGAGCTTATCCCCATCGTGGCAATCCTTTCGTAACACTTTGATCGACTTCAAACACGGTCCCACAGCCATCTTAATAGAATCGGTTGTATCGGCTATCCCTTGTCCGATCTATCTCAACCGATGCAGACTCTAGCCAATGCCTCCGCAGCCGATACGCACTCTGTTCTTCGATCACAATCCTTTGCCGAATCCACTTCGATTCCAATGCCGAACCTGGTCCATTACTTACCAAATTTGTTAAGTCGTTAACAGATATGTAATAACGCAAGCCTGAACCTTCTTCTTTTACTATTTTATATAAAATTGGTTTTTTTTACCTCCCTTCCCTATTTGACTCTCAAACTAATTGTCTATGTTACTTATGCCAGTAAGATAATAGTGGAAAAAGAAAAAAAATATAACTACCTTGAACCGTTTATAAAATGTCTTGAGTGAATCGCTCCTTACTTTTGTCGTCTCACTTATCGGTTTTCTCTCCTTTGGTGGTCTCACCTTTACTGGACATGAATGAAAAACATATAACTAGATAGCTTATATCATTTTTTTTCTTTTTGCCTTCTTTTGAAAAACTTATGTTTACATTTCGTATATCTCTACTTAAGTTAGAGTTAATGATTGAAATTTTTGGTCTTAGTCATTGCAGTATTGGTCTTAGTTGGTTCGTATTAGTTATTTTTCCACACCCCTACAATTGGTTCCTCGAACACGGCATGAAATTGACAAACCATTGCATGTTGGGAAAAAGTCCATTTTGACTCAATTAGCTATATATACGTTCTAATTCATATCCCACAACCACAAAACACAGTATAAAAGCTCCCTCAACTACGAGATTAATTTATATCCTCAAACGCTTTTGAAAGCGATTTTGTCGTGCATGGTATTATGTTGACGGTCCACTCAGGAAAAAACATCTTAGTTTCTCCTCCATCTTCTCTATATCCCCTCCTCTATTTTGTCGTATATATTAACACCTATGTGTTTGGCGGCATCTTCAACACCTGTGGTAGATTCAGGATATTCGTGTCTTACCTCATGAAAGTGGCTCTCCGGGCCACATTGTCCTGAAGCTCTGCTCCAAGCTGTTTGACAGGGTTCGTGGTGTTCAACCCGACCAACTCGAGGAGTTCATTCTCGAGAGGTTCTTCACCACTTGTAGAGGAAAGGCTTGGCTGTTGGAGCACATGGTACATGGTCAGCCAGGAACGCCCAAACTATTGTGGTCACCATTGACGCCATCCCAAACTCCACCCTCGTGGCTCTCTCTATACGGTGAGTTTCTTGCAGAACTACCATGGTACACATAATCTTTACCCTCAACAGTAGTGCAACGGTTCATCGGGAAGACGAGCCTCTTCTTGTGTACCGTTGTTCACATATCATCATCACGTTCTTGATTCAACCAGAGCACCTTTGACAGTGTTGTCTTCACCGTTAGATTCGTGCAGCTGCGATCTACTTGCAAGACATCGTGCCCTCACTGGATTTTTTTTTGAATGCCACCACCGCGCGGGGAGGGGGGGGGACTCCCCACCTGAATTAGAATTAAAGGAAACTCCAAAACTGTACAAAGCCCTCATTGGATTCCATCGTCAAAACCGCTCAGAAGGCAAAATGCAATATAATGGATGTTCGAGGGAGGCAAAATGGACTGTATTTTTGCCTGTGTGCCACCGCCATGAATTTCGTGGGCCAGATTAGTTGGTGGGCTGGGTCACCCTTCCACATCAATTCAGTCGCGTCGCTAGCGTCCGGCTCCATCGACCACTCCGTCAAGTTCTATTCTTTCCCAGGTTCTTAGATCTGACTGCCCGTGATGCAATTTTTCCTAATCTCGGTCATTTCCATGGCCATATTTGTGAAATTTTGCTTCGGATTTCCTTCCAGAGGAATAATGCTTACAGGAACTAATTCAGAGGAACACAATCCTTCATGAACAAGAACTCTACTACTGGATCGGAACCATAGAGGAAAATTTAGAAGAATTAACATCACAAAGTTCTTCCAAGTGCGCGCATGCATCACAGAAGATGAGGGAAACAACATCACTGCATTAGACAAATGGTTAAAGTGCAAGGAGAAGACAAAGCGGACGAAGAGGAGGAGAGCGCAGGTCGGCGCATGAAGCATCTAGGCCCCCGTTGTTAATTTTGGTAATTAATGACAAACGCTAATTGTGGACTAACCATTGCTATTGAGATAATATTTTAAGTTAGGTCCATGTCATGTGTGCGCATGGATGACTATCGATGGATTAAAATTGACGGCGCAAAGCAAAGAGAAAGAAGACGGTAAAACTAGTGCTTTAATTTAGAATTGATCGAGGTGTAGGGCGATCAAATTTGCTAGTTTATTTTTTAGTTTCGCCGTACTATTAAGAGAGGTAATGACCTAGCAAAGAGATGATTTTAATTGCCACATTAGGTCATTGTGCATTTAGACTTGTGCTCGCTTTTCATCACACACACAATCACTTGGGATTTCACTGGTTTCGGCCTGACCAGGGGCGGTCAGACCGGCCACATAGTGGCGGTCTGACCGGCGTGCCCTGGCCGATCTGACCGGCCACGAGACGGTGGTCTGACTGGTGCATAAGGCCGGTCTGACCGGCGGGACATGCGCGGTCAGACCGGCCCCCTGGAGGCCGGGATGGTGCTGCTCGGGGTGGCCGATACAGAGCCGACGGAGCCGTATTCGGTCAGACCGAGC